TCCAATTCCTTTCGATACAGTGACTCAGTATATTCCTTCCATCTTCTTTTAATACTTCCTGGATCATTTAATATTCTGCTGAAAGCATCCTTGATTATAGCAATTCAAGGTTTGAATTTGTTCTTCAGTTCCTTCCTTTTCCACATGAATGTTACACTGACATCCAAAGCTCCCCCACAATTTTAACATCCCATATTTTCTGGTTGTACCAAAAAATAAACAAACAGCAAATGATGTCACCTCTTAAAAAAAAAAAGCATTTACTCTTAAAAAATGGGATGAAATGGGATTTCCTTCTTCTTAAAAATGTTTCTAGAAGTACTAAAAAACTTGCATTTACAAAATAGTTGATAAAAATATTGCTCTGGATTGTACAAGGAAGGAGATACAGGGACCACTGATAAGACATGGTAGACAAATATTAATCAGACTTGGCTTCTTTTTCTTCTGCTTCATCAGAGGCTGGACTCTTCGTTTTTAGTTTCTCCATTTTCTGCAGGTAAGTCTTGTTTAGTTTCTTGGTTAGCCACTTCAGCCTGTTTTCCCTTTGCCCCCCTTTTCCCTTTTGTTTGCACTTTTTGTCAGAAGACTTCTCCTTGCCTGCTGCCTTTTTGGGCTTCGTTTCCACTTTTGCAGCTGGCTTAGCTGACAGCCTCGCTGATCTCCTCTTGGGCTCCTCCTTCACAGCACCCCTGGCCGAGCTGACCTTCCTCTTGGGCATGTTGGCGGCAGGGAGGGCTTGTGCAGGATGCCTGTGGGCCGCTGCGCGCACAGAGCCTTTGTGAAGCTGGTTGCTCTGGCACTGCCTCTCTGCCCGCCGCCGTGCTGCTGGGACCCGCGGCGGGGGCGGTGGGAGAATCCTATATTACTGTTTTTAAGTTTGCAAAGACCGTGGCCTGGATCAAGCACACCTTAGTCTCCAGACTGACATTGTTGCTTCTCAGTACTCTGGAGAGGTACCTTACAGCAGATTTACCCGATGCAATTTGTCATTTGATTTTCTGACTGCTGGTACCAAGAGTGTTGTTTGTGAAGTCAAGCAAGCTGTAATTATTGACAATCTCAATCTCTTCTCCTTCTATCATGGTATTGTCAATTGGTCCAGTGGTGAAAATCTTTGTCTTCTTGATGTTGAGCTTCAATCTATATTGAAGATTACAAGTGTTTCAGTTTCAGCAAGCAAAGTTGTGTCATCTGCATAACATACATTGTTGATGAGTCTTCCCCAATCCTGATGTCGCCTTCCTCTTTATAAAGCCAAGACTCCCAAATGATCTGATCTGCATATAGATTGCAAAGATATGGAGACAGAACACATCCCTGACAGACTCCTTTTCTGGTTTTGAACCACAATGTTTCCTTGCTTTGTCTGAAAACTGCTTTGTGGTCCAAGTATAGGTTTCACATGAGCACAATAAACTGTTCTGGGATTCCCATTCTCCTCAAGGTTAGCGACAATTTGTTGTGATCCACGTGGTCAAATGTCTTAGCATAGTCAACGAAACACAGATAGGCATTCTTCTGGTACTCTTTGCTTTCTTCCAAGATTCGTCTGACAGTAGCAATTATGTCTGTAGTGCCGTGACCTCTTCTAAACCCAGCTTGTATTTCTGGTAGTTCTCTGTCAATGTACTGTTTCAGTTGTTTTTCTGGATAATCTTCAGCAGGATTTTGCTTATCCGTTATATTAATTATATTGTTTGTTAACTTCCACACTGTAGGGTCATTTTTTAAATGGAAATAAATATGGATCTTTTCCAGTCAGTTAACCAGGTAATTGTCCTCCAGATTTCTTGACACAACATTTTGAGTACGTCCAGGGCAGTGTTAGTTTGTTGAAATATGTCAATTGATATTTGATCAATTCCTGGGGTTTTAATTTTTTTCCATATCCTTCAGAGTAGCCTGCAGTTCTTCACCATTGCCTCATGATCATGTGTTGTTTCTTGAAATGTTCCATGTCAGTCAATTCTTTTTTGGTACAGTGATTCTGCATATATTCCTTCCATCTTCTGACTAAAGATGATAGAAGAAAAACTGATGTATTTGACTTGTGGTACTGGAGAAGAGTCTTGAACATACGATGGACCACTAAGAAAGCAAATAGGTCTGTCTTGGACAGGGTGAAACCTAGTTTCTTCTTGGAGGCTAGGATTTTGAAGCTGTGTCTCACATACTTTGGACACATGGCCAGGAGGGACCAAGCCTTGGAGGAGAACATCATGCTTGGAAGGGTGGAGGGACGGTGCATAAGAGGAAGACCCCAGATATGATAGAATGATACAGTAACTGGGGCAATGAGGGTAGATGTGTCAGTCAGTGAGACTGGCTCAGGACAGGGCAAGCTTCAGAGCTATTGCACATAGGGTTACAGGTGACTCAACGGTACTTAAGCACAACATCACTTTAAAATTAATACATCTTAAACCTTTCCTTTTTATCTAAAAGTATATTTGTTGTAACACATGGATTCATGAAGTCACTGCCACAAACCATCAAGCATACCTACACAATTTGTTTCCCACGCCTATGTTTCTTCTTTCTAGAATGTATAAATGTAATAATTTAACACTTAACCTTAGAAACAGGATGTCTTTTACTCTGCATAAAGGTTTTGTGATTCATCCATATTTTTGTGTATATCAAATCCTTATTCTTTTTTATTATAGCATTCTATTATATATATGAATCATAGTATGCCTATCAATTCACTCATTGAAGTAGATGAAACATGGGAAATTTATCATGTCTATATAATTAAGAATAGAACTTATATATAAACATTTGTGAGCAGGTTTTTGCATTAGCATAAGTTTTTTCTTTTCTACAATAAATACCTAGGAGCAAGATTGCTAATCTATTGTATAAACACAATTTTTAACTATAAAGTATGTTTTGTTTCTCGTGTTTTTATACCATTTCCCCCAACAAAATATGAGATTTCTAGTCATTTTACTTTCTTGTTGGGACTTTGAGTTGTCTAGTTGTTGTTGTTGTGTGCCATCTGATCCTACAGAGGGTTTTCAAAGGCAGTAATTGCATGGGAGGAGATTACACAAACTTCTGCAGAGTGACTTGTGCATTTAGACTGCAGTACAGATTCTTACCACTAGGCCACCAGAGCTCCCTGTGGTGTCCAGTGTTTTAATTTTAGCCATTCTAATAGGAATGTGGGAATATGTCATCATAGATTTTATTTGCATTTCCCTAATAACCATTAGAGTGTGTCATCTTTTCATGTTCTTCTTTGTCACTTGTATATTTTCTTCAGCAAAATGTCTGATTAAATCTTTTTCTTGTTTTTATTTCATTAATTATTTCTGTCAGTGTTAAAGTTTGAGGGCTCTTTATATTCTCTGAAGACAAGTCCTTTGCCAGATACATGACTTACCAGTTTTTCCAATCTGTATATGGATGTATTTTCCTTAATGTAACAGAGTCTTTTACAGTGTAAAAGTTTTGGTGTATTTCAAATTCCTCCTCTGTATTGCCTTTATTGGCTACTGGATATCTGAATGTAAATGTTAGAGCAGCACCCTGGAGGTTAGTATAGATGACTAGCTGAGTGAACTCCCCAGTATAACTGATACCTCTAGGAACAGGCACTCTGTTTCTAATTACAGGTGTAAGTCGTCTTCAGCAGTCTCTTTGATTGGAAACTTTCATTGAGACACAGAGATCAACTTAGGTAAGCCACAAGCGGGCGGGGGTGGGAGTGGGGAGTTTAAGAGCACCTTTTCCCTTCCTGAAATCTGTTCTCAGGAGGCAAGCAGCATTACTCCTGAAATTGCTGTCACTTACTGAGACTACTTTATAATGCAAAATTAATGTTTGTCAGCATCCTTTTAGGTTGCTCTGGAGATTAAATGTAGGAGAAAAGGGCATTTTGTCAGTTCTGCACAGGCAAGGCTAAGTGGGAGAATTGAAGCAATTATCTGAATAATTCAATAAAACTCCTCCTTTTATTTAATTATTCAAATAAAGCCTTATTTTTCTTTCTTTGCTCTGGCCATCGAGACTTCTTTGTCATCTAATTTCCTCATGAAAAGTGACATGATTTTTATAACTCGTAGAGGCTTAAAGCTTTTTAATGTTTAAGGTGATCAGGTTCCTAGAATAATTAGTAGAAATTCTATAACTCTGCTCTTCAGAGCAGCTTTGAAGACGCCTGAAAAAAAGCATGATGTAAACTCATGTTTTCATACACTTAATTCTATCCCCTAAAGAAACCACGATTGCTCCTAATTTCCAGCTGCCAACATCTGCAATTAGAAACTGGCAAAACAATTACCACAACAGCTGCTAGAAACATATAGTTTACAACAGAATGTCAAATATGTTTTGGAATGACGAATAAAAAATTACTTGTTTTCATTTCTGTTGTCACCTAACCTTTCTCTCAACGAATTAATCATTCTGCAGAATAGTATCCCAAAGAGATCACATTCTGTTAGTATTCAATGGATTTATTTTTAGCAGAGAGATAACAGGAATACATGAGACATTCAACTGTAAACACAAGATTGAATTACAAAATATGCTATCTAGATGACCTCCATGGTCACTTCTCATTCTCACATGCTAGGACTGGAACCAGTGGAAGTTTTCACCAGGTCTACACAATAACATTATCAATCTCACTTCTAAGGATATCCAATTCTCTTTAATAAAGTTATAAATGATTCCGTGTTTTTTCTTACTCCAGTGTTTGTTCAAAATAACACCATGTCAACTCAGTTGAGAATGTATTTGCCAACTCAGCAGTCTTCCTTAAAAGATTCCTGAAAGCTGTGTTATCTGTCATATGTGTGAAAATACTTGTATCATTTTGTCCACAAAATTGCAGCTGAGGAGAATTGAGTTCTTTTTCTAATAGTGAATGTAAGAATGCAAATTAATTAAAAGGTCTCTAAGATTCTTTAGATAGGTGTTAAATTGCTAATTCTCTCCTATAATAAATCACATAGTAAAATGTATTGGAAATAACATTTCTTTTTATTATGGGAAAATACATAATATTTACAATTCCTGCACTATTTACATTTATAATTCAGTATAATCACAAAAAATATTTCCTAATTTATTAGTTTTATAAATTCAACTGACTGCAATTTTTCCAGCAGACAATCATTATGATGGAAGGAGTAATCTAATTAGTAATCACTTTTAAAGATAATTATTCTCTAAGAATTATCCAAATATATTTGCTTCAACACTTTGTATGTTTAAACAGAATAAATTGTATAATTAAGAAGATAGCAGGGACCTCTCAAAGGTACTCAGGAGCAACAGTGTCTCTCTGGAGACTAAGGTGCGCCTGATACAGGTCATGGTATTTGCAATCGCTTGTTATGCAT